TTAAACATGTTTATGAGATCTCAACCCTCCCCCTATACCTCTAGCCAATGTAGAAAAGTAAACGCATAACAATACGCACATTAAAATTCAGTTCAAGAGAAGTCCGAGTCTGATGTCAGAAGATGTAACCAAAGAAAATAAACAAAATGACAATAATACATAAAAAACAACAGACTACTAGCAGTTAACTGACATGCCAGTTCCAGACTTCAATTAAACTGATTGAAAGATTATGTCTTCTTCATATGAATATCAGGCACAATCCTTCCCGTTAGGGGTTTAGTATCATACCATCATAACATATATGAGAAGAACATAACCCGTGTCATGCCAACAACTGGTTTTTAAATAAATGTGTTTAGTGCCGATGCAAAGACCCTATAAGTGAATCAATATTAACGCCAAAATATGCAATCTTTAATGACCTGACAACAGTATCGTAACTATATCCCTTCTTAATAAGTCTATTTAAAGATTTTGTTAGCTTCAGAGGTGAATACTGACATTTTTGTGCTTTATAAAGAATATTTCCATAAAAAATTGGATGTGAAATACCTGAACGTATAAGAAGTCTGCATGTTGAGCTATATTTACGAATGATGTCCTTATACCGATGATAAAATTTAGTAAATGTTTTGACTAGTTTGTGATATCGAAAACCCTGGTGTAATAATTTTTCAGTAATACATAAATTTCTCTCGTTAAAATCTAAAACATTGTTACATACACGAGCGAATCGTACAAGTTGAGATATATAAACACCGTAAGATGGTGACAAGGGAACGTCACCATCTAAAAATGGATAATTAACGATAGGAAATGAAAAATCATCTCTTTTATCATATATTTTAGTATTAAGCTTTCCGTTAATGATATAGATATCAAGATCGAGGAAAGGGCAGTGGTCATTGTTAGTATTATAGCTTTATTTAAAGTAAGTTCAACAGGATAAATTTCTTTAGTAAAATCTTAAACCTTCTATAGTTATGTTGCTTAATTCTTCGATATGTACTAGATAATATTAATAATAATAATATTATTCAGCGAATAAGTATTGATTGTTTTGGTGTTGTTAAAAATCAATATCACTATTGATGAATACTTAATGAATTGTTCAATAGAGCATCATGGTACTGTCACGACTGATAAGATCACAAAATATCGGGACTCCGAAAATGAACACTGTTTCTACCAATTTCAATCTGTCGGCAAATGTCAACATTAATTGCTTTCACAATTGACTTGTATTTAAACAGCCTAACATGCTTCCAAAAAAGATATTGGAAGAAAATGTAAACATCACAAGAGTAACAAAATATTTTTCACCTGAAGCATGGCATTCAGACATTGAAAGTTTCTTAAACTTCATAAAGGGAAAATGCAGAATGGATTTGTACGGTATGCAATATAGAGCGTGCACATTGCCGTATCACTGGTTTGTGATGGCTGCTTAGAGTGATTTCACCGAAAATGCGTCGGACTAAAACATGCTCCAAAAACAACATACTGGATTTGTAGAAACTGTCATTGTAAATAAAAAATCAAAATATTGTATGCAATATTGTAAATATCAAATAAAAGTTTTCAAGTTTTATTTTAATACATATATATTTATTACTATTCCAATCGTACATTGCAGTGCGTTAATTTAATGTAACAATAACGCAATGTAACCGTAGACCCAAATATTATTGTTACATTCGTAATTAATCGGTTCCTTACCCAACCCTGCATTCCGGCAATTAGTCTCCAATGTAACAATAATTTTTATATTATTGTTACATTTCCATGTAACCGTAGCCAGTGCCTTTCATTTAATATGAGTAATAAGTCAACTATATTTGTATCTGGAATCTTTGCAAGGTCAACATGTCAGTCAGACAGGATTCATCCAACCTTGGCCTTATTTCATTGTTAATTGATCGATCGTCACGTTTGATTTTCGTGATCATGTCAAAACACAACACAGAATACACAACCCTGGACAACAAGAACCCTACCAGAAAAGGGGTCGGACTTTGGAATTTCTCGAGTCACAACTTCCTGTTCCACAAGTTATACCCGTCATTTCATGTATCTTTGTTTTTTAAAAGTTTGATTAATCATTCCTGATAATGATTAATTAAGAAACACATGTCGTGCGAACTATTAAAACAGTGATGTGCACGTTGTATTTGGCCTATGAACAGATAAATATGATTGAGCATGCATACAACAGCAATTGGCTAATTCACTGAAAAAGAACTCAGTGGGACACAATTTCACAGATATAAACACTTTATATGTAGTATGTGGTGTTTGATATTATTCAGTTTTTTTTTGTTTTGTATTTGGTGACTGTCTCTATAACCCATTCAATACATTTCAAACCTCCTTTGACATTCCTATAATTAGGTCATTTATTTTTTGATAATGATGATTAATTTTTATTTTCAGTTGTATTCGGCCTGTTTGAAATGTATAGGTTTAGTGAAAATATTGGGCTGTTTTGGTTGTGCATTTTTAACGTGTGCATATTGTTTACTGTCTCCATGATGTGCTGGCATATTTATCACTATCAAGAGATAGATAAGAAGAAAAAATGAATCATAGACAATGTCAAAAATCAACGACACAACATGACAATGTTGCACAATGTAAAAGTAACCTTAATTTTCTTTATCTTGTATAAAATGTATTCAATTGCAATATAAGGATGAATAATGATTCACTCTGAACTAGTGGTTTGTTAATTTCTTGACATCACAAAATAAGTAAGTGTATAATACATGTATCATGTGTATTTATCTTCATCATAAGCTGTATATTCTTTATTATGCTGTACAAAAATGACCAGTTGTATACTGTATACCATATTATTCCATTCTTAAACTGCAACTGTTTGTAAGACTTTAAGCTTTTGTCGTACAATTTGTAATCAGCTTTAAGAAATCTATTAAAAAATAAAATAATTTGATCTTAAAAGATTTTAGATAATATTAATACTTCTTCGTCATTAATAAATAGGACTAAAAAATAAAAAATGAAAATTTAATGCGTCAGAAGTGCTTTTCTGGATTTACCTTCATCAGGAACGCTCAAAGCCAAAAAATTGAAAACCAAGTTTGTATGTATAAGAACCAAAACAGTTGGAAGAGCTATATGACACCAAACAGCAAGCTATAAAGGGCCCCAAAATGACTAGTGTAAAACAATTTAAACAGGAAAACCAATGGTCTAATCTATAGAAACAAGAAACACCTATGGACCACACCAACAAATGAAAACCACTGAACAACAGGCTCCTGAATTAGGACAGGTGCATAAAAATGCAGTGGGTTTAAACCTTTTAACAGGCGCCAACCTTCACCCTAACCTGAGACAGTAGTGTAACCTTACAACATAAAAAGACACACTATAAAATATCATTGAAATGGCTTAACTCAAAAAGACATTCAAACAAAAACAAGTAAACATTCACTGAAAGAAAAAGTTTGATCTATGACACAATATAAATACGATATTGAAACGTAGGTGCCTATATAACATATATGTTACAGATAGTAATAAAAGAGATGTAGGAAGAGTGTCAATAAGACAACTCTCCCCTGGGACAAAATGGCATTAAATAAAACAACGTACACACTTTCGCAGCAGCTGTACCAGATCATAAAATGTATCATTATCAATGAAAACATGAATTTTTCATTAAATAATTTCAGTAATAAGAGCCATGATTTTAAGATTAGTAATAAAAGAGAATAGCAAAAAAAGACTAAAATTAAATTTGTTCATATCTTTGTCATTTGGTCTATTGGGATAGTTGTCTCATTACATATCATACCACATCTCCTTATTTTTATTAAAAAGAAACAAAGTACTGACAGTTATTGAAGGCTACTTCAAAGCACAATTTCAACTTTAGAATAAATGTTCTTCTAGAGTAATATTCCGTACATTTGTAGTAGCTCTGACCATGCCAGCAATATCTAAATACCAACAGGGATTCTACTTTTATCAAAATTTTGATCATGTATGCATGTTTCTTTGCAATCAGGAAACCCTTTCCAGCATGTATTTCAGGCTATTTTTAGTGACTATGACATATTAGACTTCAATAACTCTCATATTATGCAACCATATAGGCAAGTTACAGGAAACATCCTCTCATTATTTGTTATCATCTATCCATATAAGGTTGCAATCTGACATAAAGTATTTTATTTATTATAGGGAAACCGAGATGACTATTGGACTGGCAAGCCAAAAACTATATATATCTCCTTACTTTGTAGTGTCAGGTATAAAGATTTTACAGAACACATATAATAACTACCAGAAATGAAAAAAGATTCCCAGGCATACATTTACACCTAACAATGATTCTATAGAACTATATATTTCATCCAATTACTCAATGTAATTAAAAAATTCCCCTACTACTGTAAACAATTTATAAAGTGATTTCATCAATTAATTACACTTTGAAAAAGATAACTGATTGCTGAATAAGAGGAATAGATTATATCATTCAGTTTTGATAAACATTGGTTACATGAAAAATCTCCCCTTTAAAACATTGTCCTCAGTGGGATCCAGAGATCATACTCTAAGGAATTTTAATAGCTGATACCTCATGTCCAATCTTTACATGTACACAACATAGATATTTGTTAAGTTCAACATGATACAACCATAGCATGGAAAAGGACAAAGGAAAAATATGCTCTACACTTGCATATACATTGCATCTATAAGGTACTGGTAAGAACTGCAATTTGGTGTCATCACTCCCTTTTAATCCCCTTTTCTTAGTGGCTTTACATTCAAAGCTACCATTGCCTTGACTATTAAGGCAGAAATGCTATCAACAAAAGTTTGAAACTCCATACCAAGGTTGACAGACCTCACCAGGGCACATTATCCTATTTCAGAAAACCTCCTGCTGAGTAGTGCAATATACTTTTCACTTCGGCACATCCAACCTGTCACTTAAACTATGATTTCAAAAGTTGTGAAAAAAGATTGGTATTTATCTTTTTATTATTCTAAAGCTGAATAGTATTCCAGATTCTTTTATAATGTACTTTCAATTACAACTCTTCCCCCTTGACATCCTTTTAATACACTCATTGTCTCTATCATAACAAAAATTGTATTTTTCCTTTTGTAATTAAACGAATAACTACATCATGGCTCACTAGGATTGCACAATAATGTTCCTCATTCCATTCTGATGTATGTCTCATCTTTTTACTTGCTTTGGTGATACATACACTTGAACAGGTTTACTCAAATCAATAGTCTGTTTCACATTGTCATGTGATGTGTCCTTGAACTTTTGATTGGATGCAGTCTCCATGGAAACACACAGCTCCACATTGGTTGGTTCTAAAAAACACATAACAAAAATAAGGTCCTGAAATACCTATTTTTTAATATATGAATTCATAATTCACTTGATTTATGAATATCATGGTTAAAATATTTAAAGAGAACAGAACCCTAATTGTTTATGGCTTATCTAAGTAAATGCAGCTTCTTTAAACATAAATTAAATCAAGATAGAATTGAGAAAGGAAACAGGAAATGTGTCAAAAACAAAAACCCAACCAAAGAGCTGAAAACAGCCCAAGAACACCAATGGGTCTTCAACGCAGCAAGAAAATCCCACACATCGAGGAGGGCTTCAGCTGGCCCCTAAACAATATGTCTGTATGTTTTAACATCAGGTTAGCTTGAATTGTTTTAAGCATCAAATATAACAATTTTATTGAACTGATTTAAACCAACAAAAGACAGCTGGAAAACATCTTAAAAATCTTAACCTGATAATAGTTTTGCATACTGTATTGTATTAATTACTAATAAAAAGACCATGCAGTAATGGGTTTAATTCATTAACTGTCTGCATATTTATATCATTTATTGATTACTGATTTCTTTGGTTTCTCTTTTATAAGAAATAATTCCTCTTTCAAGACTTCATTTCATGTCCTTATCTTTTCTATCAAATAATTTGTTTATAAAGAAATTTAATAAGTGTTGTAGCACTAACTACAAATCTAAATGAAATAAATATCCCATTAACCTTAATAGATATATAGAACATGGCTAATTACCTGTCCACAAAGAATGGGACATTAGTACTTGTGTGACTAATCTGTGTCTCAGTGGTCCTAACTTATGAAAATCACTCGATTTTGGTGTAAACAGCTGGACTGTTTGGTCTGCAAACTTTTTCTGTAAGAAAAAAATCACTAAAATAATTAATCTATAACTTAAATCATACAACAAATGCAATGTAGTTTGACAATATATTCTTTTACTTATTATATTTTCTCTTTCATACCAAAATAGAGTTATGCAAATGAAGAAAAACTTAATTTTGGTTTTTTACTGTCATAAACATTTGTCAACAGACTTACAAGGTACATTTTCTAACATAATTTCTACAGGAACAGCTAATGTTAACCATACCTTAATTCTAATATTACTGGTACAAGGTACATTTTCTAACATAATATCTACAGGAACAGCTAATGTTAATCCTGCAGTGAATTTTAATGGTTTGTCTGTTGGACCAGTTGGTTCATTTATCACTGCTGTTATTTTTCTGATTTTATTTACTATGGGAAAGGCTGATGGCTTTATCATGGTTGTAGCATGCTGTAAACTAGTGATGAATTCTGGGAGACCATTTATGTCAAGGTCATCAACGACAGAGAAAATGTAAGTTGTGAAAGCATCTGGATGACACTGACTTGACGATAAGTAACTGAAATGAAGTTAATAAATTCAATTGTAAGTGTTTCCTTTGAAAGGGAAAAACATCATTATTTGAAAAGAGATAAAATATTTTGAACCTGACAAATGACATGAAAACGTAATTTACATTTATTATGCAATAACTTTTGCAAAAAGAGAAAGAGACAACCACTGATATAGGTTCTCAAACTAGATGCTTTAAACAGGTGCTCACCTAGGTATATATGTATATTCAACAATAGACCCTCTACAACATTGTTGACTGGAATAGAATTCATGAAAAATTAATTTTTTTACCTTGTATTGCAGATCATATTTTCTGTTTAGTTTTTATTCTTTAGTTTTTGCCCAATACACAAAAGAGGGTAAAAGGGGTCATTTAAGAGCAATCACTCCAATGAAGAGTCAACTTACTATATCAGTAAACCTTGACTTATTTGTAGAAATTGCCTTGCTGATCATTTTGGTGTTTAAAGTTTCACTACAATCCAGTTTTGAGACTAGGAATCAATTTTGAATCTCATTTTATTAATAAATATCAATTTTTGTTGAAATGCTGTCACAAAAAGATTCTCAATATTTGTGATTTTTTAACAAAGTCTAAGTTTTTTACCATAATTTTTTTCCAAATTAAACAAAAATCAAAAAAGGGCCTTCCTTTTATTAGTATTAACAATGTGCATAAGAGTTAACAAAAATCTTTACTGAATGTACGACATAAAAGATGACAGTTGATTAAGTGATTCCAACAGGGTAATCTGACTAGTCAATAAGGCCCTAACTAGACAAAAATATAAACATTATAATAAAGGAGTTTACTTCTAGAGGTGAGACACCAATGAAAACACAAAAAAATTACATCAATACAACAAAAATTAGTTTCTTTTTATAAAAGCTAAATCACAATGCTTCTTAATCCATACCTTTTGAGATTTTTAATGAGTTTAATATAATTCTGTTTCATGTCCTGCTGTTTCTCATTTTTCATGTCAGCTTTCATCAGAGTTAAGATTTGTATTGTGACAGCCTTCAGCTCTGTCTGTCTAATCAGTCCTATTTCTGATATACCCAATCCAACAAAAATGTGCTGACATATTTTAGTTAACTCCAAAATCTAAAACAAAAAGATTTTGTATAGTTTCATTCATATATAGTTAAACTGTAAAAGGTTTAACTCAGAAACATCATTAAAATATTTAGTAACAAGAATGTGTCCATAGTACACGGATGCCCCACTCGCACTTTCATTTTATATGTTCAGTGGACTGTGAAATTGGGGTCAAAACTCTAATTTGGCATTAAAATTAGAAAGATCATATCATAGGGAACATGTGTACTAAGTTTCAAGTTGATTGGACTTCAACTTCATCAAAAACTACCTTGACAAAAAACTTTAACCTAAAGCGAGACAGATGGATGGACGGACGAACAAACAGACGCACAGACCGAAAAACATAATGCCCCTCTACTATGGTAGGTGGGGCATAAAACGAGACTGAAATGAATTCCGTATACGTTAATTAAAAAGTATAATAAAAATATAAAACTTTGTAACCAGGGCAATGTCCTAGCCTGTATGCTCTTAGTATTGTTGAGTATCATGCATAAAGCAACAAAGTTTATGATGCTGTCAGGGAAAAAAATTCACCAGCAGAAAAGTTTCTTTTAGGAAAATACTTGACACCGATGAAAATAAGGCAGTAACAAAGTGTCAAAAAGATTGCTATGCTATAGTTAAACGTCCCCCACCCTGTATAAATAAGGAATTAAATTGTGTGTTACATAGTGTCATTGTGGTATGATAGTCAAATTATGATAAAAGTCCCATAACTCCCATTAAAATGGTCAGATTAATATGACAGTATAATATGGTCAACTTCACATGGTGGCAAACAATCCTACTAAGTATGAGATGTTTCTGTAAAAGAGCAGGATCAAGAGAATATGACATAAAAATAATCCTACACTGTATGTCTAAAGGTTTATGAGTATTGATGTGTTTCAGACGGATGAGACAAATTACAGCCTTCAATAAATGTCTATACAATATTTCAATCTTAATGGTTACAAGTCTACTAAAGATGTAAATAAATTAACAGACTTGGGACAGGCACATGAATATCTTGACTCTCCCCTTTTTAATCTTAATCATCTTAATCAGTGGATTTACAAATCATACATACATCAAAGAAAAACCAGTACAAGAAAAGCATTTAACTATAGTATAATGGTATAAACTTTAAAAAAAAATAATAATAAAATTCACTTTCTTTCGTTTTTGTGAACCAATGGTATAATTTGCATTATTGAGAAATCATAGAATCCAAAACTTTTTCTTTGTTAAAATTACTTATTTTCTGAATCCCTGTATACTTTAATGAATATCTATATATGTTCTAAGCATTTTCTAAATTAATCACAAAACTTATATATTTTTGTTCAAAAATGAGCCTGAAAGCATGTATCCCTTTACATGAGTTGAAGACGATTTTTTTTAAATTCATCTTTATCTAGCGCAATCTATGGAGTATTATAATTGCATTTAGTGGTTTTTTGTGAACTGTGATATTTCAAAAATTAATAGCTAAAAAAAAAGACATTATCAAAGACTACAGAAGTCAACCAGTACTTTAACCACATACCTTTTCAACAGTAGCAAGAGTATGGTTGTCCATTATACAACTACTAGAAACTGTTTGTTTAGTCATCAACTAAAAAAAAATTATCAATTAACTTATTAGAACTATGTATACCATAGAAAATGAAACAACTGAGCCAGTCAGACTTTTTTTATTCTGTTTGTAATCAAGGAAACCATTAGGGAATCATGTGCAATGAATTTGACATGAAAATGATTACTATATGCTTTTGATGTGGATTTTGTGAACTGACAGTAACTTGTACATTGATAAGAAAGAGCTTTGTTACTGACGTTGCATGGTTTGGGAACATCAGAGGTCTTACATTTGGCTTAAACTCTTTATTAATGTAATAAACTCTGATAAGAAACTTTACTTTTGTTCCAAAGCACATATGTTGATATACAGGCTCTAAGGCTCAGAATAGAGAGACTAAAAAATATGAAATCTCTACATTTTCTCGAGCTTAATCAAATTTAAGTAGTTCTTACAACAATATTTCTTTAAAGAAAATACTTGAGATGAACAAATAAAGATAAATGATTTTTTATATTTCAAAAGCTTTCCAAGTGCATAATTTAATTTCACACCTGCGAGCATGCCTACATTTGTACTTGTGTAAACAATGTGGTTTTTGCTGTTATATTTAGCTGAAAAAACTTTCCAGCCAGTTTAAAATGAGATACAACTTTAAAAAACTGTCTGGACTGTTTATTTATCAGACAAATAGGTAATTATCAGCTGTCACACAACCAATAAACCTTGATAGTTACATCTATTTTGGTAAAGAAGTATTTTTACTCCTTGTGTCTTTTTATGACTAGAAATGTTTGTTCTTGCTAGGGAAAATGTCTAATCCAAATGACTGCCTAAACCTTTAGTTATTGATCTAATGTAAAAGTTTTCCATTTGATTCAACCATCAGACAAATGAAATGGAATTTGCAGGGGATACATACCAAATACAACTGTTTTAGTTGGAATGATAACGAGTTTGTATCAAAGCATTAGATCTCTATACAAATCAAGGATAATTTAGTTATAAATCCAATTATAATTTTGTTTATAAATGGGATTCAAACAAGACCTATTTTTCAGTTTACATTTGATGTTATCAATTTTATACCAATCTTTTTCTATAACAAGTCCTCCCCCCTCTCCCAAAGTTGAAATATTTACCACTAAATGTTAAGCAACCACCAATCAATCTATTGATCTTTATCAAGGAATAATAATTATAATAACTTAGAACAATAACCCAAGTGAGTTACTAGTATTTTGATAGCCCATTTGATGTTGGAGACACAGAGATTTTAAAGACCACTTTTTGTCTGGACAACTAAGACAGCATTTGAAAACAAAAAGTATTGAATTTGTTATGAACTTTATGAACAAATGTTCAGTTTGTAACTTTATAAATGTCTGTATTACGTGTGTTAAATATGTAGTTCAGTAAGTTTTACCTGTGTTAAGTATGTAGTTCAGTATGTTTTACCTGTGTTAAGTATGTAGTTCAGTATGTTTTACCTGTGTTAAGTATTTATTAGCTGTGTTTAGTATGTTCAGTAAATTCAGATAATTATTATTGCGTGCATTTATTATTGTAATTTTTGAAGAATTGACAAAAAATGAGAGATTAATTATTGCAATTTCAGAAAAATCTGCGTACAGATAAATGTATCAGAAACAAGAATGTGAGTTCTTACTATTGCGATATCCAACCACTCGCATTATTCGCATTAATAAAAGCCTCACAATAATTTCTGAATTTACAGTATTACCTGTGTTAACAACAGTTGACTCTGTAGAAAGTTACCAATACATTCAGCAGATGCAGAATTTCTACTATCTAGTTCAGATATCTTGTACAGATCTCTGAAAGGTTAATCATGAATTATATCATATAAACACGATAAAGGAGATCAATTATGGCAAAGCAAAGAATATCTTTTAAACATTTAACAAAAATAAATTGTTATAATATACTGTCAAGTATCAGGAAAGAATTTTTTTATTTAGTGCTTTCATTTTTTCAAGGTTATTCTAATGAATGGAAGGCACAAAAACTGATTTTCCTTCAGATATCATATTTTCAGTGTTTTCTGTCTTTGTCAAGGATTTCTAGTATTGCAAATCTGAATGCCTCATACATGCAAACAGCTGCAACACATCAATATCAAAAAGTGCACAGCTTCATTGGACCACATCTCCAGTATCTACTTCATAACCAATGAATGTTTTAAAATGGTACTATCTATATGGAAGGACCTTAAATAGGAATAATATAATCTTTAAGCAATATTCAGAATGAGAACATGTAGAATAACTCTTAAGTAATTTCTGTATGGAAAACAATTGACTTTTGCCTATATTTCACAGATACCATTTTGATTCTATTTCAGTTTTTTTTCTCATACTTGAAAATAGCTTGTGCTAGATCTTACTTGACTATAACTTGTAACATTTGTTGTGCTAGATCTTACTTGACTATAACTTGTAACATTTGTTGGGCTGTATTATTTTCCATAGAACAGATATTTTCCACCTGTTGTGTGATCTGTTGTATAAAACTTGACACACTACTGGATGATCCTGGTAAATCATCATCTTTGTCTTCATTTTGATTCTGAAATAATAATACTGACAGTTTAGTTGCCTTTACATTACTTATGAAATATTTCCATATGGGGAAAAGAAATGTATGAATTTCAGGGTTGCAATTTTATGATCAGACATGCATCTAATTTTGAACTGTTATTTTAAGGAAATATGCCACTGAAAAATGCTATCTGTTTTACAGTTTAAAATATGCCACTTCCAACACACAAAAGTGAAAGTACAACAATAATTTATATAAACTGTTGACACAGAGATATATCTCGACTGTCCGAATAAAATTCAGAAAAAGACAATCTGATGGACAGCAACATTGCTTATTAATTCAAAGTCGCTGGACGATCTTGTGGACAGGGCCTAGAAATGGTCGACAAACTGAGATGTATTGATAGTAATGCAACTTCATACAAAATATCATTGATCTATCACAAGTAGATCCTATCAAACTAACTCAAGCAGAAAACTTAACATTGAAAGTTGCTTATTAATTCAAAGTTATTAGACGATGACTTAGGGGGAAGGGTCTCAAAATAGTCGTCAAACTGATATGTACTGATAGTAATGCAACTTCATACAAAATATCATTGATCTATCACAAGTAGATCCTATCAAACTAACTCAAGCAGAAAACTTTACATTGAAAATTGCTAGTTAATTCAAAGTTGCTATGGGGCAATATGTACTGATAGTAATGCAACTTTATATTAAATATCAATGATCTATTACAAGTAGTTCCTATCAAACTAACTTAAGAAGAAAACTTAAAAAATTGTTTTTCTGTGGAAAGACCTATTGTATTTGTTCTGATAATTATTTTTTTTCTTCCTCAGCCAAATCCTTTTCTTGCGGTGTATAGTGGTTTCGCAAGATGTTGCTTAGATTTTTTGCATATAATATCGAACAGTTATTGCGCTTTTGAAACTCACCCTGTTTAACCAAACACTTTTTATTATAAGAGTTATCTCCCCAAACACTGTTTTTTTTGTGTACGCATCTACTTCGCAACCATAAAAGAAATCACAAATTTATTTTTCAAAATTGCTCACTAAATCCCTAGTTCCCTAATTAGGACTTCAGTACTAGTAACAGATACTTCACTTGTATCAAAATGTAACTAGTCCCTCAATACCTTCAATTCTGATGCAAAATAAAATACTTCCTTGTAGACAGTCCACATAACCTTCATTACTAGTTCCACAGATATTCCCTCTGGTACATGTTACTCATAATTAAGACTTCATTACCTTCAACACTAGTACCAGATATTCCCACTAGTACATGTAATTAAGTAAGACCTTATTACCTTCAACACTGGAACAAGATATTCCCACTAGTACATGTAATTAAGTAAGACCTTATTACCTTCAACACTGGAACAAGATCTGGTAAACTTTCTCTGAGATATGTATAATGTTGCCAAGTGTAGTCCTCAAACATGGTCATCATAGTAGGACAACTGGAGGCAGCATTAAATACCATCAATAACACACTTATGTCTGGTTCTTTGTTAAGAAACAAAGTCATAATGATAAATCTTAGACATATATCATGACATTTTAAATTTATACTACAAAAACTTAATTTATTCTTGGCCTTTTTTATTATCTTGAAATATTTGTTCAAAAGAAATGCTTATTTCCTCAACCATTAGAATGATGATAATTGGATCAAAGTAATTCAGTTAGAATTAAAGAATAAATGCAATATGAATAAAAAAAAGTAAGCAGTAAATTCCACACCAAAAAAAAGCATAAATTAATTTATCAATTGTTTTTATTAAATATTCAAGCCTGAAGAAAAATGCTTTTCAGACATATATTCAAAGTGACAAACTGAATGATAAGGTTACAGGTTGAGATGTTTACAAGTTAATTTATTAGGAATGTACCTTTAGGGCTGTTCAATAAAAACATATATGGGACTCAGGGAAGACACTTTGAAGTTTCTTCAATTGGTGGGTGTTATTATATACAGTGAAAGTGCAAGAGAAATTCTAAAATTTCCTCTATAGATGGTTCTTCAATTTTCAAAAGGGGCCTCGGTGGCCGAGTGGTCTAAGTAGTTACTACTGTAATCACTAGCCAGTCAACACTGAGGTTGTGAGTTCGAACCCCGCTCGTGCAGGTGCACTTGACTCCAATCTTAATTGACTAGGATTGTCAGTTTTCCTATCGAAGGTCGGTGGTTTTCTCCGGGCACTCCGGCTTCCATCACCAATAAAAACTGGCCGCCATGAAATAGCCCAAAAGCGGTGCTTAAAAGTGGCATTAAAACACCAAAAATCAAATCAAATCAATTTTCAAAAATCCTTCACTATGCACCATGTATGTTTAAATGGAACACCCCATACCAGATAATTAATAAAATGCTCTGCTGGGTGCAGCTTGATACGACCGCAGAGGTAGAACCCTGAACAGTTGGGGCAAGTTTGGACACAACATTCAAGCTTGATACAGCACTGAATTTGGATTGTGATTAAATATTTGACACAGCATAGGTTTCTGACACAGAATGAATGTGGTCTAAGAACTTAAAAATTTTTAATTTACCTATTCAAACCATATCATTATTATTTGCTTTTATATATAAATCAGAAATAACCAATTTAAAATGGAAAATTTTAAAGAAAAAAAAAGGAACACCCCCAAATTTTTTGAACCCCCTTATGATTCATCACCCCAAACTCAATCCCAGCCTTCCCTTTGTGGTATGGTACCTTTCAGTACAATTTCAGAGAGATCATACACTTGAACACAAGTTATTGTCTGGAAACTAGAAAAATGCTTGTTTTTTGGCCCCTTTTTGGCCCCAAATTCCTAAACGTTTACAGCAATTACCCCCAAACTCAAACCCAGCTTTCCCTTTGTGATATGGAACCTTGTAGTACAATTTCATAAAGATCCATACACTTACACACAAGTTATTGTCATGAAACTACAAAAATGCTTGTTTTTTGCCCCTTTTTGGCCCCTAATTCCTAAAATTTTGAGGCAATTACCCTAAAAATCAATCCCAGCCTTCCCGTTGTGGTATGGTACCTTTCAGTACAATTTCAGAGAGATCCATACACTTGAACACAAGTTATTGTCTGGAAACTAGAAAAATGCTTGTTTTTTGGCCCCTTATGGCCCCAAATTCCTAAACGTTTAGGGCAATTACCCCCAAACTCAAACCCAGCTTTCCCTTTGTGATATGGAAGCTTGTAGTACAATTTCAGAAAGATCCATACACGTACACACAAGTTATTGTCATGAAACTAGAAAAATGCTTGTTTTTTGCCCCTTTTTTGGCCCCTAATTCCTAAAATTTTGAGACAATTACCCCCAAAATCAATCCCAGCATTTCCCTTTGTGATATGGAACCTTGTGGTACAATGTCAGAGAGATCCATACACTAACACACAAGCTATGTCTGGAAGTTACAAAAATGCCTATTTTTGGCCCCTAATTCCTTAACTGTTGGTACCATAACCCCCAAAATCAATCCCAACCTTCCTTTTGTGGTATTGAACCCATAGAGATCCATTCACTCAAACTAAAGTTAGAGTGTGAAAACCAATGTGTCTTCGGACGACAACGACTCCAACGTCATACCAATATACGACCGCAAAAATTTTTTGCGGTCGTATAAAAACTAGTTGTATAGAAATTTCAAAGGATACATGCTGGATCATCCATATCTGGTTCTGGTGTATCAAAGTAAGGATGAAGACACAGAAGTGTAGGTACCAGTGGTAAGGTCAAATGTGGATGATGTTTTCCTAAAAACTTCATGCATCTGGAAGAAAAAAAATATACAGAAGGTCATTTGGAAATATTTCTTACAGATATAAATCATCTTTAACAGTGTATTTTTTTTCTTAATTTTGAATGTGTTACACTTTAAACCTCAAGAATCCACTAGTGTAAGTGATCGACTTTTTTCTAATTCTATTGTAATGGTTGGTGTATATTCCTGTCTTTCTTTTTATGCTAGGTGAAACTGTCTACTTAAATACCCTTTTCCCATGATTTCATCAATATTAAGATATATTTGAATACAAAAAGGTTAGGAAAAGCAAACATTGGCAGAGGTGCTAAGAAACCTCAGACAAACTTGTGTCATCATTTATTGCAAAGGAAATAATATATTTTCAATCTGTTCAATATTTACACTGATTTAATCATAAAAAGACACATAAAAAACTAAGTTCAATAGGAACAATGCTAAATATTTTGTAAGAAATCATTCTAAAGTTTAAATCAGTGTTTAAATTGAATAGATTGAAAATATATTACATGTATTGATATTGACTATATGGTATGGGTTTTTTCTCACTGTTGAAGGCTGTACGGTTGCCTATAATTGCTTACATCCACTTCATTTTAACTTTGGTGGATAGTTGTCTCATTGGCAATCATACCACATCTCCTTATTTTTATAATCATCAACTGTAGTTATGTGAGTTGATACATGTATTTTCATCTATTAATTAAGGGGATGAATATTTTCTTCAGGTAACTTAATCAATGAGTGATTGATTTCTCTTAGGAGAAATTTAAAGGTCCAAGTGAATAAACTCCACTAAGAACAATAACGTTTGTATTCTTTCAATGTGACAGTTCATTGTCCAAAAATTTAAATCACCACAGGTAAAGCAACTCAAACTGGGAAATGTTTTATTTCCTTTGCATTAAATAAGCTTTGACAGGAAATCTGATCATGTTGTGCTTAGATATTTTTGTTTTTTTTCTGTTGGTACTTCAATTTCAACTACTCATGCACTGGTAGACCTATTTGGAAAATGCCCGCGATTTTTGGCTAATCTCCGCGAAATGGATAATAACTAGAGGTTCATCTTAAATTTGCTGTATTACAGAATATTATGCATGTTATCCGGAGATTTTCCGTGTCGGTGGGAATTAGCCGTTTGTCCGATAAAATGGGTGTGTATTGAGTCAGTGATAGAACCAGTGATGCGTGAGTGACGGTTATTAATAGATCGTTGTACATAGATGATTATAGAATCCGTTATGCGTGAGCGACGGTTATTAATAGATCGTTGTGATATATACAATGTTTACAGTCAGATTAAAAAAACTATCTTATTTCCCTTTTCGGTCGAGATAAAACGGTGTTTTTGATAATAAAGTTACTTACGATTTAAATATCAAATGTTGTCATTGTTCATTAAAGAAAAATCTATTTTAATGTGACCAATGAACAAGATGAATACACGTGTTATCTTTGCTATAGACAACTACAATTTTTTTAATATATGAATGGAAATCGTATTTACGTTAAAAAAAAGTAAACTAATCTACTATTCATGATAGATTCATAATGTGAATCGATAGTTTGGGTCAGAAACTTTGTTCTCACTTTAAAAAATTCTTCGCAATTGTCATGTTTAGAAAAAAAATCAGTCCTTGTACTAATAGAGTCTCCGGAAGATACCGTAATCGGGCAGGATGTCAATCTGATCTGACACTTGTCCTAGTGTATTTAACACCTGCTGTGATATTGCTTGTGCAATACCAGTGGAAGGTCGTAAATCAATCTGTACCCGATTGATCAGAATTTAATTTTACCTGTACATATATTTAGTCGTTATGGAGGATATCATAGATACATGTTATATATTGTATTGTAATTAATGAAGATAATTAAAATATATTATATTATAAAGACCTATTTGCATATAAATCGAACATATTCATTCCAACCAAGAAGGTTTGAAATTGAAAGTTTTCAACAAACTTTTGATAAAATCTTTCCCATAAATTACATACGAGTCATTGGTTTATAGTTACACAATTGTTACCCTTCTAACGTCTTATTTCTTTGTGCTATTAAAAGAACTCAAAATTTTCCATATCAGATCACATTTCGTACGAGTCCTAAAAATTATAATTGAATAATCTTCTATTTTCCTTTCGACACCACGTTCCCCATAGGAGCCTCAAGATCTAATCATACCTGTCAATCATTAGCCACAAGTTGGTCCGCCAGATAGATCACTCGTGCTTTCTATTATGACATCGTTGAGAAGTTTTTGTAAATTGATTTGTGATATAAATAAAATGATGTGAAGTTTATTTTACGGCCGATCAAAATTTGATGTGATTCGATTTTTCTTTTACACAAAGATGTTTTTTAATATGACATAAAATACATGGAAATAAAACATTTGAGTTCTTTTTTTCCCGTAAATATATTCAATAAACCAAAATTTATTTCAAAAGGTAAACATTTATAATCATTACAAAGTTATAGTTTGATTTTTATTTAAGTTGGTTAATGGAAACAATAAAATGACAACGTCTTTGCAGAAATATTAATCCAGACATTAACGTACTTAGACTGTCCATTTGTTCCACTGTGTAGGACAATTTATTCACGAACTACATCATTAATAATTACTAATATAACAGTTGCTCAAATGTAAGTTGTATAATTATTTATTTTTTTACAAACATGCGTTTAGGTTCCGTTCAGATTTGCTATTACAGCATGTGTAGATTCCTTGATTTTCATCTAGTTTCAGTTATATATATACTAGTTCCAGTCAGTATAGGGCTAATCATTTTGCCTTCCAACAAAGTCAACAATTTAGCATCGGACGTATACGTGACTGCGTATTTATACATCTCTATATGTTATATCTGATGTAATGGACTCCTAGTATGTTGTCCTTTTAAAGTAAAGTGGCTATACAATATTGGCTGTGCTCATTGTTGAAGGCCATACAGTGACCATTCAAGTGTCATTTCTCTTGTGGAGAGTTGTCTTATTGGCAATCATACCACATCTTCTTTTTTTATAACGTACCCGTTTTAATAGCAATGTTATATTCAAAACGGATGAGAAAACCCCATGGATGACAATTATCTATATCCATGTCAAGTGGGATTAGGTAATAGGAGCGGAACTTATTGATTATGTATGTTTGTGAGGGTCTGGATAGGATTTATAGAAGAATAGAGAACACAAATGGACAAAAAGTGCACAACATAGGACCAGAAAAGTAAAGAAAAATAGACGCCAAGAAAATAAAGAATATAGAATAATGAGAAAAAAATATGAAGAATAGAGAAAAACAGATGACTAACAAATTAAAAGATTGTGTTGATTAAATGCTAAACATATGGATTTTGTTTTAGAAAATCCACAGCTTTTCCCTTGTACTGTCATATTTGGCGATTCGATGCTTTATTGATGAAGCATTATTGCATTCAGTGCTAGCAATGATTTTTTTAATTGAGTTATATATGTTTAAAATATTATAACAAAAATAAAATGCTTCGGCGCTGAGCGCAGCCTGATATGACTGCAGAAGTTGAACCATGAACAGTTGGGGCAAATTTTGACACAATATTCAAGCTTATTACTGTCTGTATTTGGATTGTGATCAAATTTTTGACATAATATAGGTTTCTGACACAAAACATGTGTAAAGGTCTTTCAAATCTATTGGGCAATACTGTGCAATTAAAGATTTCTTCTTGAAACTTTTGAAATATTTTAAAATTTGAAAAATTTTGAAAAAAAAATTAAACCCCTTTAAAAAAATTGGAAACCTGCAAACTTTTTGAACTCAAAACCCCCCCCCGCCCTTTGGAGCAATAACCTCAACACTTGATCCCAGTTTTCCTTTGTAGTATGGAAACTTGTAGTACAATTTCAGAAAGATCCATACAGTGACTTAAACACAAGTTATTGTCTGAAAAACTAGAATAACTAAAAAAATGTTTTTTGGCCCTTTTATGGCCCCGAATTCCTTCATGAATGGGGCAATTACCCCCAAACTCAATCACAGCCTTCTTTTTGTGATATGGAACTTTGTGGTACAATGTCAGAGAGATCCATACACTTACACACAAGTTATAGTCCAGAAACTACAAATGTGTCTTCGAACGATGTAGACAACAACAACCACATCATACCATTATACGATCCCCCCCAAAAAAATTGGAATCGTATAAAAATCTCGGTCTTAAAATCTGTGGATTTTTTAAAAAAATCTTGGTTTTATTTTCACCAAATTTTCTTTTTCTACTAAATTCAATTAAACTATAAATAATAATGCTTTGCACGAAGTTTCCCCATGGTATATGTACAAAATGGTCCATCTCTTTTTATAAATCTGGATAATTTCTCCAAAGTGCGTTATTTTTTATGTTTTCTGTTAAATACCATTATTTTGGCGTTTCTGTATATTTGATATAAACTATCAATTCCAAGTTTCTTCTACACGGCGATCACTGCTAAATTGATTTCTCCTAAAATAACCCAAACAGTAGAATCATAAGAATAGATGACAAATGCAACTATGCATGGAACCTATAGAACACAGAGTCATGATGATTAACTTATTGTGGAAGGAAGAGAAGCGACTAACAAAATGAGGTCTTCTCGTTTAAGTAGTATAGATAGATAGATACTATAAGTCGGAGAAGCTTTTGTAAAGAAACATAACAAGCTATACACAAATTCATAAACATCACATAAGTACATCCTTAACCAGGCTATATATCAAGTCGACAAACATTGGAAATGAATGAAAAATAAACTGCTTCGCTGAGCGCAGCTAGATACGCCCGCAGAGGTCCAACCCTGAACAGTTGGGGCAAAAATGGACACAATATTCAAGCTTGATTCAGGTCTGAATTTGGATTGTAATTAAATATTTGACATATTATAGGTTTCTGAATAAATGTAGTCAAAGAACTTGAAATTGGTTATATGAATTGAATTTATATTCAATTAAAGATTTCTTGCTGTTGTGCAATACTTAG